CCAGTTCCTTAGATTCTACAAGGGAAATAGGGCATGTACACAGATGAGTATGATTCAGAGTTGGAAATGATGGCAAGGGAGGGATCCACACAAAATGTTCTAGGGAAATGTGAGAAGGAATGGAGATATGAGGATGGGGAACCCCATTAAGGAGGAAGTGACAGCTGAGTTTAGAAGGAAAACAAAGATATCGAAGACAAAAATGAAAAGGGAAGATATTATAAAGTCATCCAAGTGGGAGATGGCATGTAGAGTTTGGGGACCAGTTAGTCCAATTTGGCTGGTACAAAGGGGGGTGGTCAACAGTGTCAAAATTTGGCCAAGGAGGTTGAGGTTTGAGAAAAGCAATGAGCAGTTAATAGATCTTTTGTGACTTTTGAGAGACCATTTCCAGTAGGAAGCCAGACTACAAGGAATTGAGTTTGTGATGAGGAAGTGGAGGCAGCTAGTGTAGACACTGCTTTTTCTAGGCACTGAGCAACAAAAGAAAACTACAGAATGTCAGGGAGAAAATGTTGGCAGCAGGAAGGGAGCTGGTAGAAGGGAAGAGACTGAAGAGTGAATGATGAAGCAAGCTCCAGAAGATGAGAGAGGATCAATAGCTCAAGTATGCCTTGGCCAAAAAAAAAAAGGAGGGGGGAGAGGAAGGATCTCACCTTCTTGAGATGAGCCATTGAGGTGAGGAGGAGTGTAAAGGAAAAGGATTTCTAAGTGCGAAGGAAGGGAAATGGCTGAGTCTTGAGAACCTCAGTAAAGTCCGAGGCAATCTGCTGGAATAAGAAAGCCAAGTAGCAGCTGCTGTTGAGGACTGAGATCAGTCAGAGATGAATAAAAAGACTCAGCAGTTAAGGGTCCAGTTGAACTGGTCATGGACCAAAGTCAACATGAGTTTTTGACTTCCTCCAGCAGCATTCATCCACTCTGCAGTAGAAACAGAGAAAGCATATAGTGGGGGATGACCACGGGAGATTGAACAGTTTAACTCTTTGAAAGGAGGAGAAGGGAGGACAGAATGGACAGAAACAAGGAGGGAGAGAAGGGCTGGTTTATAAGAATAGCTAGTGCTTTTAAAGTTTGCAAACCACTTTACCAATATCATCTGATCTGATCCTCACAGTCACCCCCACCTGTGAGGTAGGTGCTATATTACGCCTATTTTACAGATGATGCTAACTGGGGTTAAGGGACCTGCCCAGGGGTTACACAACTAGTAAATGTATAATGCAGGATACAGAGTCCATTCTTCCTGACCCTAAGAACAAGCTCTGTTTACTAAACCACCCTCCTGTCTGTAAGTGCTAAACATGCCTAGGGTGGGGCTTGAGCCTATGACCCTGAGAACCATTCTTTACCGACTGAGCTAGCCAGACTTAGGGAAAAACAAGGTAAGAGAAGTTTGAAAGGACTAGAGTCAATGGCCAGGGAATAGAATTTCAGAGTTCCATATGTGACATCTATAAATCAAATACTGGACAAGTTCCCACTCAAGGCCAGAGGTGGCTGTAGATCTTGGTCCTGCCAAATTGCTGCTGGGATTCATTTTTTTCCCCCCTGTATGTGAAATCAGGTTAAGATAAAAATGAAAGAAACCATGTGGAAGGAGAATGGGGGCCCACAGTTTGCCTTGAATACAGGGGCAGGCAGAGTCATGAGTCAATCATTTTGAGCACAACTGCCTTTTCCATCAGCTGCTTCCCTGTTCAATGTACTCTAAGGAAGGCTCTGGCTCCACTCTGTGAAGCCTTGCTGATGGCTAACAGCCTGCAAGTCTCCAAGTCTCCATCCTTCTGTCTTCCAGTCCTGGAAAGAATGCAACTTGGCAGACAAGGGAAGGGAAACTTAACCAGCCAGCGGCCTTCTGAAGTGAAGTGGTCCCTTCCTATTCCCACCAAGAGTGAAGGAAGAGCTGAGGGGAATGACCTAAGGGTTAAACGGTAAGCCCCTCTTTGCAGAGAGAAGGGAAGCAGAACATTGCTGTGGATACAGAGACTTGTACAGAGAAGGCATTTAATACTTAAGAAATTGAATTTGGAGCTCTGAAATATCCCTCCCTGCACCATCACCACCACACACACCCCTCTTCCCTTCCCACCCCAAACCCTCACCTTGGTTTCTCAGTCTCTTCTCTGGATAGTTGTTGGATCCCTTCCCATTTCCTTTATTTTCTCCTTTTCTAGAAGGGTTTCCTCTTGCTTTCTTCTCCTCTCATTCTTTCTCTGGTTCCTCCTTTTCTCTCTCTCCTATTTGCCTGCTTTCTACTAAAACTGGGTATAGGGCGGGATCCTGGAGGTCCAAGAGTAGGGTGTCAGCTCCTGGCAGACAACAATTCACCCCTGAATAGGTCATCTCTTTATCCTCAGTCCTTGCCTTTACCCACAGCACAATCAGTCTAGCAGGGCAGATGGGCACCCATACCAGGCAAAGGGGGTCATCGATGCTGACGGAGATTACTAACCGGGCTGTGAGATCCCTGAGAGCAGGAACCCAGTCATTTGGGTCTCCAGGCACAGGCTACTGCACACAGTGGCTACGCAGGGAATAAAAGCTGGGCAGAGCCCTATGGGAGTCCAGGAGAGGGAAAAGAGCCTGTCCCGTTAGGGGCACAAGGGAGGGTGGCCTTTGAGCCACCCCTGCAAGGCCGAGCAAGTTCATCAAGAGCCACTGGGAGGCAGGGGCAGTGAGGGCATGCTAGGCCCCGGGGCACTGGAAATGGGAGGGGATAACGACTTGGGGGGAGGGGGCTATCTCCCCCCGGGTCTTCCTCGTCCCCCCCTCCACGTCGCATTCCCTGGTGGCTCAGGGAGGTGCTGCACAGAGGTGGGCACAGGCCTCCCCAGGGCCCCCCGGGGTCTGTTGCTAGGGCTCCCCTCCTCCCCTGGCCTTAGCTGCCTGGAGGCCATAACCCCGACCTTATTCGCTGGGCGGGGAGGGGCGGGGCCTGGCTGTGGTTGGCGGCTGGGGGCTGTTGCCATGGCGACCTCCCCTGCAGTTCCCTCGGTTCCACCACCAACAGCCCATCCTCACGCCCGGCTTCCCGGCGGTCGGCACCCCCCCCTCGCCGGGCACCCAGCGCGCTCGCGCCGGGCCCGGGCACGCGCCCGCCGCCCGCCCGCCAGCCCCGGGGGCGCGCACGGCTCTCCGGCTGCCTCTGCCCCGGGACCTGCCCGCGCCGACCCCCGAGCGACCGCGGGGCCGGGAGGGAGCCGAGGTGAGGCGGGGGCGGGCGGGGGGAGGGGGCCGGACGGGCGCCGGACGGGCGCCGGGGGCGGGGGCGCCGGGCCGGGCCGGGCCTTCCTCGTGCAGCGCTGCGTGCGGGCAGTCCCGGCTCCTGGCTTCCAGCCCGCCACACTCTTGGGCCACCCTGGGCAAGCCCCGGGGTCTCGGTTTTCCCCTCTGCAGAATGGACCAGCCGCGTGGACTCGCTGGGCCCCACCCCAATACCCCCCCAACGTTCTGACAGCCCTTAAAGTGGAGGGGGGAGAAGAGACCCCACCCCACCGCCTCTGAACCCTCCCTCCCCCCCCCAGGAGGCCTGGAGATCCCTGGGAAGGGCCCACACAGGCAGCCCCCTTGCCCTTGTCCCACTTGGAGACTTTGGGCAGCCGGCTGATAACCCTGATTTTTGGGGACCCCCCGCGTGGCTTTGGTTGTGAACTTGACCTCCTGGCCAATATGTGGCGTGGAGAGGTACCCCCCCAGGCGGGGGGGGCGGGGCGGGGTGAAGGAGGGGGACTGGTGACCTTAGCACGAGTCACTTTGCAGCCCTTGGTCAGCTTCCCTATCTGCAAAAACGTCCCTTGCACCCCGTGGGCGTTTTTAAGTTTCTGGGTCCAGTGGGACCAGCCTTTTGAGTTTGCATAAGGCTCATTCGGGTTAATGGAATTGAATTGATCTGCTTTTGCATCCTAGAGGCCGAGACTGGCTTGGGTCTTCCTTTTCCTTTACACATCTCCCCCACCCCCGAACGAGGCAGTCAGTAAACATTTATTGAGCGCCTACCTTGTCCCGAGCACTGCGCTAAACGCTGGGGATAAAAAAAAAAAAAAAAAAAAAAAAA